AAAAAAAAAAAAAAAAAAAAAGTTCTTAAATAATATGGAAAGTATAAGAGGTAAAAATCTTTTGTAGTCTAATAACCTTGCTACAAGATTTTTAGAAGCATTCAAAAATGCTAGTACAGTGTTTTCCCCCAAAATAAGACACTGTCTTATATTTATTTTTTTCTTAAGACACACTAGGGCTTATTTTCAGGGGATTTCTTATTTTTATTAGGTATAACATAACAATCTACATTTATTCAAATACAGTTAAGTCATCTTCTTCTGGAACCTAACAGGGGGAGCCAACCTTGTTCATGGGGCTGGCGCTAGTGATGCGTGAACTCCTTTCCCCTAGCCCTTTGCATGTGCGCAATAGGATGCCTGAGACTGTGGTTACCACACACACACCCATGCAAGTGCGAGGCTCGGAGAAAGGAACTGTGGCAGATAAAAGGTATTCCAATCTTCCTTACCTCTTACCGCTCAGCACCTGCATAGCCATGCCCATCACTAGGTTTTATTATCTGGGTAGGGCTTATATTTAACAAATGCACAGAGATTCTGCTAGGGCTTATTTTTGGGGTAGGTCTTATTTTCGGGGAAACACGGTAGAACTAATATGTAAGATAGAGAAGCAGGGAGGCAAACTCTGTGGCATGGGGGGAGCAATTTACTCCTGTATCTATTTTGTTCTATATTATCCTAAAAATACAACAGAAGTGAGTCCACAGCTCTGACATGCTGTAGAACTCAAGTACAATAAACTTGAAGACACTCCTGCAAAAATTCTATCCATCAATCTACCAAGGTCAACAATTACATAAAAAATACTTATTTTTACCATTAGTATTCAACCAGGTGGAGAAATGTTCAAAGGTACTGCTTACTTTTTACATTTTACACTTCGTGTCTTTCGAGTACGTTTGTGAGAGAAGGAAGAAAGGCAGGTAGTAGAACAAAAGAGGTGAGCTGATCCTTTCCGTTGATAAGCTGTCTGTCCCTTCTGTAAAGGATTTTTGCAATATGCACAAGTGATATTAGCTGGTTTAATAAGTTGTTGTTGGGCAGAAGGCTGGAAACTCTGTTTAGGAAGTAAGGCCATTGGCAATAAAGAATCCACTCCTGGCTGTTTCTGATTACGGGGAAATGAAGCTGACTGGGAGATCCAAGAATCTTAAAAATGAAACACACAAGAAAAAAAAATGGAATAAATCAAAATTTACATCAGAAAAATATTTTACATTTTTATTTACAAGGGACTAGTGAGGCAGCTGTATAAGCACGTGGTTAAGGCCAGACAGCCTTGATGCACAATCCCAGGGTAACTACCCACTTTGTAACTCCAAGTGAATGGCATTCCATTGTCCCCGCAAAAACAGTAAACTAAATGGTGGCCCCTGGCCATCAGACTCCACAGGTTTGAAATGTGATACCAAGGTTACTAGATTGTACAAATATATTAAGCTGTCTGTGTCTTGGTTTCCTTAGCTATAAACTGGTCTGCAATACCTAACTCATCAAATGTTATGAAGAATGAGTGAGATAATGCTTATAGTAAAGCACTGCCTGGGACACAGAGAACACTCAAAAAATATTATCCAAATTTTCTTCAGTAAGAGGAAAGTATTAGGCTGGGCACCATGGCTCGTGCCTGTAATCCTAATCCTAGCACTCTGGAAGGCCAAGGTGGGTGAATTGAGTAAGTGCAGGAGTTCAAGACCACCCTACTCAAAAGTGAGGCCCCGTCTCTAAAAATAGCCAGGTAGGCATCTGTAGTCACAGCTAGCTTACTCAGGAGGCTGAGGCAAGAGGATCACTTGAGCCCAAGAGTTTGAGATTGCTGTGAGCTATGATGCCACAGCACTACCCAGGGGGACAAAGTGAGATTTTGTCTCCAAAAAAAAAAAAAAGTAAGTATTAATACATTTACTGAATAAAGCAAAGGAAATATAAATACATAGATAACTATTGTAAAAGCTTAAGGAATGTGATATGAGATAGTAACCTTTTTTTTTTTTTGCAGTTTTTGGCCCAGGCTGGGTTTGAACCCGCCACCTCACCTCCAGCATATGGGGCTGGCACCCTACTCCTTCGAGCCACTGGCGCCGCCCGATAGTAACCATTTTCATAAATTCCCCCAACATATAAAAAATTCTAAGCATACATCCATGGAACTTTAACATCCATATATCCAACCAATAAGGTTCAACACTATTTTACTGTTTTTGCCTTATCACATATTTCCTTTTATTCATTCCTTTAACAATTAATACATTTTTTTTTTTTTTTTGGTAGAGACAGTGTCTTACTTTATTGCCCTCAGTAGAGTGCCGTGGCATCACACAGCTCATAGCAATCTCCAATTCCTGGGCTCAGGTGATTCTCTTCTCAGCCTCCGGAGTAGCTGGGACCACAGGCGCCTACCACAGTGCCCGACTATTTTTTTTGCTGCAGTTTGGCTGAGGCTGAGCTTGAACCCGCCACCCTCAGTATATGGGGCCGGCGCCCTACCCACTGAGCCACATACGCCGCCCAATAATTAATGCATCTTTTTTTAAAAACATATTTCAGATAAATTGTAAACATAAGTACACTTCCCTTCAAAGTAGGTTAGACATAAAATTTTTTTTTTTTTTTTTTGAGACAGAGCCTCAAGCTGTCCTCCTGGGCAGAGTGCCGTGGCATTACAGCTCACAGCAACCTCCAACTCCTGGGCTCAAGCTCAACGCCCGGCTATTTTTTGGTTGCAGCCGTCTTTTTTGTTTGGCGGTCCGGGCTGGGGATTCGAACCTGCCACCTTAGGTGTACGTGGCTGGCGCCTTAGCCGGTTGAGCTATAGGCGCCGAGCCCTAGACATAAAATTTTAATGCAAATTTTCTACAATTATTTCCCAGCCTGGCTAAATATTGTTTTTGATGCATCAATATAGATGGTGGGTTACTCAGTAAAGACTTCACTTTCTAATGTTTCTAATATGCTGTATCATATATTATTGTCACTTGGGAATCCTGTTTAATTGGAGATCTAAATCAGCGGGTTGATGAAGGGCTTGATATTCTGGATTTTTAACCAACTCTCAGATGATGCTGACGCTTTGAGAAACAAAGCGCTAGACCCATGATTTTCTTGAGACAGAGCCTCAAGCTGTCCCCGGGGTAGAGTGCTGTGGCTTCACAGCTCACAGCAATCTCCAACTCCTGGGCTCAAGCAAGTCTACTGCCTCAGCCTCCCAAGTAGCTGAGACCACAGGTGCCCACCACAACACCCAGCTGTTTTTTGTTTTGGTTGCAGTGGTCATTGTTGTTTTGGCGGGCCCGGGCTGGATTCGAACCTGCCACCTTAGGTGTATATGGCTGGTGCCTTAGCCACTTGAGCCATAGGCGCCGAGCCTAGACCCATGATTTTCAACTGGCATGTCATTAGAGGATATTAGATGTGCTACAAAAGAAAAAAAAATTTTTTTTGAGACAGTCACACTATGTTGCCCTTGGTAGAATACCATGGCATCACAGCTCACAGCAACCTCAAATTCCTGGGCTCAAGCAATTCTCATGCCTTAGTCTCCCAAGTAGCCAGTGGGACTATAGGCACCTGCCATAACACCTGGTTATTTTTTGTTGCAGTCATTGTTGTCTAACAGGCCAAGGCCGGATTTGAACCCTAACCCTAACCACTGTGCTATGGGCACCAAGCCTGCAAAAAAATTTTTTATAGATCATTAATTAAATTAGTTCAAAGCACAATAAGTATATTCTTTTTTACTTTTTTTTGAGACAGTCTCACTATGTCACCCTCTACTGGTAGAGTGCCGTGGTGTCACAGCAACTTCAAACTCTTGGGCTTAAGTGATTCTCTTGCCTCAGCCTGCCAAGTAGCTGGGACTACAGGCACCTGCCAGAAGGTCTGGCTACTTTTCTGTTGTAGTTGTCGTTGTCTGGCAGGTCCCGGATAGGTTCAAACCCACCAGCCCTGGTATATGCGGCCAGTGCCCTAGCTGCTGACCTTTTTCCTTTCTTTTTTTTTTAGAGACAGAGTTTCACTTTGTCACCTTCGGTAGAGTGCCATGGCGTCACAGCTCACAGCAACCTCCAGCTCTTGGGTTTATTTGATTCTCTTGCCTCAGCCTCTGGAGTAGCTGGGACTTCAGGAGCCTGCCACAATGCCCAGCTATTTTTTGTTGCAGTTTGGCCGGGGCTGGATTTGAACCCACCACCCTCAGTATACGGGACAGATGTACTACTCACTGAGCCACAGGCGCCGCCCTCTTTTTTTTTTAATCAACATAATTTAAGGGTGTCACAGAAGTTTAACTATAGATTCAAGTGTGCTGTGAGATAAAGACAGTTGAAAAACATAGCCCTAGAGTACAGAACTATTTTGTTTTTACTTTTTTTTTTTTTTTTAGACAGAGCCTCAAGCTATCCCCCTGGGTAGAGTGCCATGGCATCA